ATATGTTCCAAGAAGGTGGAAGGAGGTGACAGTACGAGTATAAAACCTGGGCTGGATGATAAACAAGGCCCCCGTGTGTGCGGAGCAGCTGGCAGGGCAGCAGCAGCAGGTGCCAGTGAAAGGCAGGTAGGATCACTGGGGCAACACCCTGCCCGTGTCTCTGGTGAATACATGAGTTTCACGTTGTGGCTCTAGGTTATCCAGGTCAGGGCAGGCACCTGGCAGCTCTTGGATAAGATAGGAAGGGCACTATCTCATGGAATAGTTGGACCACAAGCTTTATATGCTATTGGGACACACCCCACCCCAGGACCTGGGTGGTATTCCCCACCCACTCCATAAATGGTGATGACCTACAGTGGGCTGACTTGAATTCTCCAGTGGCAGCTTCTCCAAATAAACACCAGAAACGAAACCTGGCACAGAATGGCTCGCCACAGACAGCTGTCTGAGATCTCACGTCCAGTGAACTGGAAGAGCACATTCTGAAATGTCTACTTTCTACCTTTCCTCTGCCACAGCTATGGCACAAAGAGGGAAAGAGAAAACTCAGTGACATGCCTGCTTCCACTCAGGAGGGATCTCTCAGAGAGAGCAGCTGAATTCCACTCGTCACTGCATCACTGTTAGGGCCAGACCCCGATCTGCCTTTAGATCCTCTCCCAAGCTGCCTGCATTGCCCACCCACTCATCAATCACACCCCCACACAGCGGCTGATAAACTCGAGTGTGCATCAGAAACACCGAGAGGTGGGGCCGGCCCCATGGCTGAGTGGTTAAGTTCGCGCATTCTGCTTTGGTGGCCAGGGTTTCACTGGTTCAGATCCCAGGCGTGGACATGGCCCCACTCGTTGGACCATGCTGAGGCAGCATCCCACATAGCACAGCCAGAGGCACTCACAACTAGAATATGCAACTATATACTGGGGGCCTTTGGGGAGAAGAAAAAAAAAAGATTGGCAACAGTTGTTAGCTCAGGTGCCAATCTTTACTTTTTTATTTATTTATTTACTTTTAATTTTTTTTTAAGATTTTTAAAATTTTTTTTCCTTTTTCTCCCCAAAGCCCCCCAGTACATAGTTGTATATTCTTCATTGTGGGTCCTTCTAGTTGTGGCATGTGGGACGCTGCCTCAGTGTGGTTTGATGAGCAGTGCCATGTCCGCGTCCAGGATTCGAACCAACAAAACACTGGGCCGCCTGCAGCGGAGCACACGAACTTAACCACTCGGCCCCGGGGCCAGCCCCAGGTGCCAATCTTTAAAAAAAAAAAAAAGAGAAACACCCAGAGGGGCTGTAAAAACTCACAGTGCTGGACCTCACCCCCCCCAATTTCTGATTCAGTAGGTCTGGGGGGGGGCGCTGGAAAATGTGCATTTGGGGCAAGCTATCAGGTGAGGCTGCTCCAGGCACTGTATTTTGAGAACCAGCCCCAGAAGATGATTAGCTTTTGCAGCTGGTGAGTAGAATCTTGATGAGAAGCCTGATATTGAAACTAATGGTAAACATCTATCTCTAGTGATCAGTGGGATGTTAAGGTTGCCTGGGTGGAGAGGCCCTCTTAGACAACGTGAAAAGCAGCCCACGTTACTTTCTGGAGACAGCAGACGACTTTCTCTTCTGTCTATAGATCAATACGCTGAGATGACAGGAGACTGAGGGAGAACCACTAACCTACACATTCAGATTCTTGGCAATTCCACTTGTTTGAGATTTCATGGCTGGGCCAGGATACAGGATGAAACAATTTGCAAATGATGATGAGAAAAGTCTTTAGCCCACACTCCCTTCTATTTGTAATCACAGTTGGCTCAGAGGCCTATGTTAGCATCACCACCTGGCCTCCAAGTACATCCCTCTTGCCCTCCCAGCACAGCTGCCCAGAAGAGTGGCTCATCTCACCACCTCCTGTGTACAGACCTAACCCAGGGAAGGCACCCCTCTCCCCTACAGAGTTAAACAGCCACGCTCCCTGAGATGCTCCTGAACGCAGAGCGGCAGACCGAGAACTTGTCTTCGGTCTTCTACAGCTGAGCAGAAAAGCTTCAGGGATTCTGAATATGTCTCAGCAGTTTTCCTTTAAATTTTGGGGTTTTTTTTTACTATTTACCTATCTATGTGAGCAAAAAATTTAATATTGTGAAATCAAAACAAAGAAGTAAGTTAGATACAGATACTCAGAAGGCTGTGCCTGCCATCTGAATCCCTCTGATTTCAAATTTTTGTTCCTCAAACTTGCCTGATTATTCTGATTATAAATGCTGCACATGTGAACTTACACAAATAAAATACCACTTCTTTTTTTCTATACTGTGGTTTCATGTAAGATTTTTTTAAGAGGTTCAACTGTTCTTTTAGATTTTTTTTAAAGATTGGCACCTGAACTAATGTCTGTTGCCAGTCTTCCTTTTTTCCCCCTTCTCTCCAAAGCCCCCAGTACATAGTTGTATATTTTCAGTTGTGGGTCCTTCTAGTTGTGGCACTTGGGACACCGCCTCAGTGTGGCCTGGCGAGTGATGCCACGTCTGTGCCCACGACCTGAACCGGTGGAACCCTGGGCAGCGGAAGCAGGACGCGCTGGCTTAACCACTTGGCCACGGGGCCGGCCCGTATTTTTTTTTTTTTTTTAAAGTGAAAATCCCTAGATTTGAGCAAAGCCCAATAACAGGATGTCAATCACCAGTACCATCAGCACCACCAGATGCTCAAAAAACTCGGAGCCTCTTGGGGTGCTCTGTCCAGGAAATCTGTTCCCACCTCATCACACCATCAATCATACCCATAAGGCCTTGTAAACCTGACATTCCCTGGCTATTCTGGCCATGAGGCTAATCTTCCCTGAGAAAGGGATAAAGCAAAACACTCCAGTTGCTGCCTTCTTTAAAATCTGAAGCCAATACAATCGTTCTCTCCAATTAGCAAGGACTGTGGCACTATGACTGATGGCTACCCTGGGTCTCCACTCGTGTTCTAATGATGATATTTATAAGTGACAGGCTAGGAAGGGAGGAGCAAGTATTTTCCACCCATTCATAATTCCAATTAGGATTTTTTTCTCAAGGAGTGGGGTACATAGCTCTTCAAGTTACAGAATGAAAAGAAAAGGCAAGTCAAAGGTTACTGAACAAACCTAAACAAAAGCTCATATTATTAAATAATTACATAACTGCTTTGTAAATGTCAATGATAAACAGTGTTGAGCAGTTTTTTAAATTTGTAACTGCCAGTCTTCCAGCAGAAGCCAGTGAAGCTAGCACTAAAAATCGTGCAAAAACTTTGCTCAGGACTTCTAAGGAAGTAACATTATTTTACCCTCAGAGTGACTAGCCTCCAAGATCTCCCAGCACAGGTTACATCATCTGTAACCAGTGGGGAAGAACACCACAAAGCTCGAGAGGCTGAGACTCCACGTGGAGAGTGATTTCTCCCTTTTAGGCTCTGCTTTGGTGGGTAACACCTAGAAGCAATACTTTATTCATGATTCTTATGTTCATTATGAAAATAAAGGAGCCTAGCCATTCAAACTATTGATGTGTAACAACAAACTGACACATTATTTACCAAGCAACTTAAGCTGTTTAAGTCTGACGGGAGGAGAATTCAGTGCAGAAGCAACTGAAGGAATGAATTCAATTAGACTATTTCAAATGAAGGGAACAGTATAAGTAAAACCCAAAGCCATAAAGGCAGGCAAGTCTGGCTCATTAGAATTTAGAGTGACAAGGACAGACGGAAGTTTTGATTCCATCTGGAATTGACAATGGCAGTAAGATTCGGTTTACACTCATCCCTTCGTGGTTCTGTACTGGCTCAGAAAAAAATGGCCCTAGAGACTGATGCCTAAGTGTCTTTTCCAAGTCCACTACAGTCATTCAGAGTCATCTCTTTCAGTGTGAAATCCAGCTCAGCTAAATGCAAAAATTTTTTTGTTGTTAAAATAAAGCATCACTGTTAGAATAAATAAGAAAATGCTCTTTTCTCTGTTCTTTGAAGAAAGAGTACCTCTAAAATATTTTTTCTGCTCAAACATGGTGTCAAATTTAATTAAATATGTAAAGTAGGGAAAGAGCCTTTTTGGAAAAACTGAGGAAGGCTCCAGAAATCTGCTGAGACTGAGTCAACCCAGCAGGGGCCAGAGGGCTCTGGATCGTCTACATTACTAGCCTCTTCTCAATCAACTCCGCTATAAAGTGATCCTTTGGGAGGTTTGTTCTTATTCTCTGGATACTGATGCCTAAAGGCCATAAATGGTCAGGCTCAATTTATTTTAAACGATTTTTCCTTTAGGCCCACATGACTGCAATATCTTAAATGCAATTTACATGACAGATTTAGAAAATATTCAGAAGGAAGAACATATAGCAGATCTTGAGCAGGGAAATATCAGACAGGTCATAAGCAGAATATGCTGGACAGGGCTCTGTCCAGGAAGCTTTATTCCCCTTAGCCACGCAGATTGTTCATGAGAGGTGTTCCTGATTCCAGCTATAAAATGCTTTGGAAAATAAGAGAACTAAAATATACATCTATTAACCCACTTGCCCTATCCTCCACCCACAGTCTTTTTTGCCACTTACTTTTTACTCCTAATTCCTGCCCTCTCATGTCTTCTCAAACACTAAGGGGACTCGCAATGTCATTTTCAAAACAAAAATTCCCTTGGTTCTGACATGGTGTTGGCTTATAGCGATGGCATCCTAATGAACTTAAAACCTTAGGTTGTTTACTCAATGAAGAAACTCAACTGTTTCTATAAGATTCATGATCTGAAACAGAGGTTGGTGGTATCCCAGGTTGGGAGTTGAATTATGTTTGCTCCTTCTGAAGTCAAAAACGACTAAGAACTCAACGGCCACGTGGTATTGCTGCCCACAACAAATGAAGGCCTTGAAGCTGTTTCCAATTGTTGTCCTCTCCTCTAGTGAATAAAAGTACTGATGTCCCCCATCCCCAGCTTCCTAGCTATTTATGGTCAAGAGAAAGTAAGGGAAGAAAACTTACCCAACATCTCTTCCTTTAGCCTTTCATTACGTTCTTCAATTTGCTTAGGTAATCTCTGAGGGAAAAAGAAAAGAAACAAGGGTTGGGGAAAAATCCTTTGGCTTTATTTTGAATTTGAGAAACCTTAAAAACCTAATGTGAAAGCGAGATCAGGTTAAGTACATATATACCATCCTATTAAATAAAGAAAAAACCAAGTATGTGTTTGTGGGTAAGCTACACGAAGACATGAGTTTTGTCTGGTTCACTGCTATATTCCCACTTCTTGGCACAGCGGCTCGAGGAGGACCGCAATAAAAATTTGGTGAATAAACAGATATTCACACAAACAAGTCTGAAAGGATACACACCAGATGATTACAGTGGTATATTTAGGCGGTGGGATTATGGATATTTATATTTTTAATTTTTTTGCTCATTTGTATTTTTAACTTGTCTTTTCTTTATATAGTCTAACTTGTTGAGAAAGAGCTCAATATGGGACATTCCCAAATGATCCTCTAGCTCAGGGTTTTTCAACCACGGCACTATTGATATTTTGGACGAGGTTATTCTTTGTCGTGGGGGCCGTCTTGTGCAGTATAGGATGTTTAGAGCATTTCTGGTCTCTACTCACTAGATGCCAGCAGTCCCCTCCCAGTCATGCCATCAAACTATCTCCAGACATTGCCAATGTCCCTGGGAACCAAACCATCCCCGGCTGAGAACCACTGATGTAGATCAGGGTCTCCTATGGCCGCTTTTGGCTCTGTAATTGGCCCCAAGTACTCTGGGATCCTAATAATAACTCAATTATAATAATTCAAAATAAAATAAATTCTTTATTCATAGAACAACTAGCATAAAAACCTTCCTTTTACAGAAGGCTTAAAACTAATTTGACAAGGATAAAGGCTACCAAGAATTTAACCCAGATTTTAAGAACTCTATTTGCTTTCCTCGTGTCAAATTTAAGTTAATCCTACCACCATTCAGAGATATGTTAAAAGTTGGATAAAGGATTCAAACTGTTTATGTATTTTAAGTATCCAAACCAGTCTATCTCCCATTACTCCATTTCTAGATAATAAAAGATCTGTCATTGTTAAGGGAATTCACCTCAAGGGTGTGTAAAAACAAAGCAAAACAAAACCCAAACTACCGAGGATATTAATGCAGATAGATCAGTCAGTATCCTCGGGTCTGCTCAGTGGAATAATAGTCCCATGAAATAAGTGGGAAAGCCTGGATAGCACGGGCTCAAATGCCCTCAGGGGCCAGAGATGAACTGAAAATAAGTAAAGGAACCAGGTGTAAGGCAACAGGAAGTGGTGTGGTCAGCAGTGGAAGTGGAGAGCTCCAGTCCAATGCCAATGTGTAGAAGGTGAAGTAGGATCCAGTATGTTCACATTCTCCAGTTTTCAAGAAGAGTCCAACTTAGTTTTTATTCAGTAAAATCTTCCCATTTTTGAATGTTGGCAAGTGGCCTCAATTAAATAAACAAAACAAAAAAATCTGGCTTAAATAAAACAAGTCCATTGCTTTCCCCCTGCTGCCTGCTGGCCTGCAATCTCTGCTGCATACGGGGGTTGACGACAGACCCCTCCATTCTAATGGCTCTCTGAAAAGTCTGGCAGCAAAGAAACCTGGTTAGTTAAAGCTAGTGTTTCTCAAACTTATTTGAGCATCCATTATTTTGGGGCAATAACATATACACATCCAACTCTGTAGCACATTCTTCAGACAGTATGTTGCTCTGTGCATTAGAGATAATCAAGGAGTGATGCTAAAGGTAAAAGCACAAATCTGGGGTTATTTTTAAAGGAGGGGAACCCAGTAACATTTAGCTAATTTATAACCAACATAAAAACATTATGACGCTTAGAAGCAAAGGGATTTGTAGTGCCAAGGACAAGAATAAGAGCCGTTTTAAGAAAGATAAGAAGGTTAGCTTAGGAGACTTTCACTTGGAAATGTGCTGGGCACATGACAATAAACAGAAACTTAGTGAGTAAGGAAAAGAATGGACAGAAAATGAGAAGTTTACGACCTATATACTAGGGGTCACTTTGGACTAAGCGATACACTACAGTGGACAAGATTTCCCTCGTCCAGCATTGAAATACAGTTCTTTTCAACCCTACCGATTAAAGGTTTTCACAGATGAGACTTTTAGAATAGAGATTAACTGGTACATGGCCACAGTGGGTCTGTGGCCACCACTTCAAAGTTCTATCTCCCATGTGTTTTTGAAAGCTGCTCAAAAGCACAGAAATGGAACATAGTTATGTCCCAAAGGATTATTTAAGATTTGCTGAGTAGCAATACAGGGAATAGAAGAAAAAATATTTTTTAAAAAAGAGGTTTACCATACAAGCTTCTCTTGCTTGATGTACTGATGGATCTTTCTCTAATATAGATTTATAGTCTTCCAGGGCTTCATCTAGCTTGTCAGTTTTCTCGTACAATTCCGCTCTCCTCAATATTGCTCTGATATAGCTGGGGTTTAACTTAATTGCTGTAAAAAAGAGAATAAATAATTGTTACCATGAAGAAAACGAGCCTATACATCCTCAGCTACATCTTTCCTTTATTAACCATGCTCCAAGAGTCCAAAAGGAAGAGTCATTTGCCAAAGGTGTACCTGGGTCAGCAAACTTTTTCTGTACAGGGCAAGATAGTAAAGATGATAGGCTTTGCGGGACAGACCTCTGCCACAGTTACTCAACTCCGCTGTTGCAGCACAAAATCAACCACAGACGATGAGTAAACAAATAACGGTGGCTGTCTTCCAAGAAACTTTTATCTATGGATACTGAAATTTGAATTTCACATAATTTTCATCGGTTACAAAATATGTGTCTTTTATTTTCAACCATTTAAAAATGTAAAAACCATCCTTAGCTCATGGGCTGTACACAAAAGCAGATGGCAGGCTGGATTTGGCTTGCGGCTGTAGTTTACAGCCTGGTCTATACCCCAACTCCTGGTTTTCACCTACTTGTCCTCCACCCAGTTCAGAATACGTCAGAACCCAAAGCTCAAGTGCACAATGGCAAAGTGAGAGAGACTGTAAAGGTACATATTAAAGAGTTTGGTGACAGGCTCTGCTATCATTCTCTTTTTTCTAGGCCTCAACTACTGAGGTTGTGCCATGATTACTGAGGTTACATTTTTAGCTAAACCCTCACTGTTCCTTCAAACTGCTGCTATAGCACGTTTAGGTCACTGACACATAACATCCTTTCCTTTATCCAACGACAATTCCCCTTCTAATAATCCTTTGCCTGTGTTTTGGTTCAAGGGTACTGCAATTCTCCTATTCTTTGTTGAGTTGTTTCTTTTTCTGTTAGAAAGCAGTGTCACAGGTCTAGAACATTTTTCTCTTCAAATAATTTACTCGATTGTCATTAATTCATGCTTTCGGTAACTATTTATTTAGTACCTGATATATGTACCGAATGTACTCTATCTCTGGAGTGGTAAAAAAGATGGACAAGGGTCTTGTTCTCATGAAGCTTTAGGCTATTCTAGTAGGCAAGAGTAGAGAGAACACAAATAATTTCAGAGAGTTATAGTGCTATATAGAAAGATAAAACAAGGTAATGTAAATGCAAGTGAAGGGGGAATAAGGTAACTTCAGAGAGTGGTCAAAGCATATGAAGAGGGAATGTCTGAGGGAGACCAGCCATTTGAAAAGCTAAGGAGCAGCTTACCAGAAAGAGGGACTAACAAGAATAAAGGCTCTAAAGTAAGAATTACTTTGGAGGCATGTTAGTGACTAGGCTGGGGGCTGTGGAAGAGATGAGGTCAACAGTATAGGCAAGGACCAGATCATGGAGGCCTTGCTGGCCAGGGAAAGGAGCTTGGACATGTTCCTAAGTGTGATGAGAAGCCAGTGGAATGGTTTCAAGCAGACGAAAGTCATGATCTGATTTTCAGTTTTAAAGGATCACTTTGGCTGTAGTGTGGAAGGCACAAGTGAAAGCAGTGAGACAGTTGGGAGGCTAGTGCAGTGGTCCAGAGAGATGATGTTGGCTAAGCTTGTAATAGTGGGGATGGAAAGAAGAGGCCAGATTAAGTACATGTCTATGAATTAGAGCCCATAGGACTTGTTGATTAATTAAGCCATGTGGAATGAAAGAAAGAGAATACTACAATCAGGGATGACACCAAGATTTTAGTTGAAGCAAGTGAATGGATGGTAATGCCATTCATTAGAGTGGAAAAAAACTAACAGCAAGTTGTGTGTGTGTGTGTGTGTGTGTGTGTGTACGTACGGGGGACGGTACCAGAGTCTGTTCTAGGCACATTAAATCTGCAATACCTACCAGAAGTCCAAGAAGAGATGTCAAATGTGCAGTGGAATATAGGGTTCCAGACCACAGAGAAGAGCTGAAGATATAAACTGTAGCATACAGATGGTATTTAAAGTTTCAGAACTGGATGAGATCATAAAGGGAGAAAATATAGAGGAAAAAAAAGAAGAGGGCCCTACGTAGGACTAAGATCTAGGGACTTTCAAAATATTGAGGTTGACAGAGAAGTCAGCAAAAGAAAATAAGAAGGAATAGCCAAGGAAGCAGGAAAAAAAATGAGGAATGATGCACTGTATTAAATGCTTTTGGGAGGTCAAGTAAGGCAAGGCTAGAGAAGCAATTATTTAATTGAACAAGATGAAGTTGCTGGTGACCATTACAAGATGGGTTTCGGCGGCATGGATGAAACAGAAGCCTAGTGGATGTGGGTGAGGAGAGAATGGGAGAAGACACAGTAGAGAGAGCAAGTATAGACAATTCTTTCAATGACGAGGATCAGAAAAATGAAATGGTACAGGAGTTGGAGAGGTATATTGGTTCAGGAGAAGGTTTTCTGAAAGAACCCAAACCTCTTAACATTTCAACTTCACATGCTACCTGTCACCTCCCCTTAGTCCAGTGCATAATATTCTCTTAAAATACCCCCAACTACAATATCATAATATCCCTAAGAAAAATACACCAATGATCTCTACTACATCTTAAAAAAAAATGAACCCCCTAATTTACATTTTAACCCAGATACTGCCCTATTCTCAACTAGTGGATACCTTCTAATAATGCAAATATCTATTGAAGAGAAAAACATCCCCATGATTACTTTATAAAAACCTCAAAATCTGGGGCTGGCCCCGTGGCCGAGTGGTTAAGTTCGTGCGCTCCGCTGCAGGCAGCCCAGTGTTTCGTTGGTTCGAATCCTGGGCGCAGACATGGCACTGCTCATCAAACCACGCTGAGGGAGCGTCCCACATGCCACAACTAGAATGACCCACAATGAAGAATATACAACTATGTACAGGGGGGCTTTGGGGAGAAAAAAGAAAAAAAAAAAAAATCTTTAAAAAAAAAAAACCTCAAAATCAAACACATCACTCTAACATGTAATTTTCTTTCCCAATCCACATAAGAGAATGAACTTGAACTTTATTAATGTCAAGGCTGAAAACCGTAAGGTGAATGGCATTAAATATTGTTTTATGACTAGTAGTAATGAACTCTAATATGACCTCAGAAATAAGTCCTTTGCCAAGAAGGTTATGACTGAGTGGGCAAGTCTGTGTTAGGAGGGTTGGGGGAGAGTCCTAAATACAAATAAACCATACTATTGTCAACGTATTTTGCCTATGGGCACAATGCATGTAGCCCATTAACAACTATGTATAAATACATGAATACTGGCTTAACCAAATCCAAAAACAAATCCGGAAAACACTTTCCTCCCCTTCCTCTTATTTCCTTGGCAAGGCTCCTACACCCAGGGCTATAAATGGAAATGAGCTCTGTTCCTAGTGTATACCCTGCTAATCAAGCTTACAGGGCATTTTCTCACCATTTGGTTGCAGAGAAAGCAGCTTTGAAAATCAGCAACTTGTTCCTAATTTAAACTCTTCAAACTCACACATCTCACACAGATTAAGGTTAAACACTGTCTTCCAAACAAAACAGTACATTCAGAATTAGTTCCAGCCAAAGACAGTACTAGACCAGAAGTAGTTCGCTAAATTCTAACGTAGTAACAGTTTCATTCAGATACTATAAAGCAATACCAAGTATACAGAAGAGAAAGCCAACAGAGAGGGTGACTAATACAAAGGGGAAAATAGAGGAAGAAATTCATGCACGGTATCAGAGTGGGACTAGGTAACATGAGGTTCTTTCTAACTCTACGATTCTCTCAGAGAAAATATTATCCAAAGAAAGAAAACTGAAAAAAATACAAACTACAAAAAGTAGTAATTAGCTAGAAAAACTCCTCAGAGTAGTAAGATGCAAGGAAAAGTGATTACAGTCATGTGTCACTTAATAACAGGCATATGTTCTGAGAAATGCATCACCGGGAAACGCCATCCTTGTGCAACCTCATAGAGTGTATTCACACAAACCTAGATGGCATAGCCTATTACACACCTAGGCTGTACGGTACTAATCTTATGGGACCATCATCATATATGAGGTCTGTTGTTGACCGAAATGTCATTATGTGGTGCATGACTGTATGTATATTCTCCACACCAAGTTGGTTAGAAGTGCAAGACAACTGTCTAGCCTATGCTAAAATTTTTGAAAAAAAAGAAAAATAGGGATGCTATGTCTGGGGGTGTCTCTATAATTTGGTGGAATGAAAAGACCTTAACGGAACTCAGACATCAGATAACAAAGGCTCGGTTCACTGTGTGGAAGTGAAAGGGTAATTAAAATGAAAGCAAGTAGCTTTGGAAGAATTATTACATCTGAAGAGAGTACTAATTCCTGAACAGAACCTGCCCTTCACCACAGCTCCCCACGCCCCTGCAAAAGCACAGATCCAGATGCCCTAATACAGTTAAGATCTCCAATTTCAAGCTCAGAGGAAAGTAATTCGGACACAACAGAAGTAAATTCTCTTCCACGAGTTTCTGTTGCTAAGGTAGCTTTGAATTTTTCTTCACATATTTACTAATACAGGATAAACTGACTGAACTATCCACTCAAAAGCATGCTTACACTAAGATGACTACCATACAGCACCTCTAAGAAGGGTGAACTGTGAAGCTGCTTTTTTAAAGGCCCCAGAGGAAGGGGGCACATGTACAAATACACACCTGACTGAGAGCCTCGGCACGTGTCTAGCTGAGGTAATGCTCTTGTATGTTAACATGTAACAAGACCAAAAAGTTGTACCTTTGCTGCAGTCACTGATGGCCATCTCTTTCTTGTCCTAAAAGGAAATATAACATTAATATGTGTCACCCTAGTTCTATCTTAATGGCCTAAAGGTTCAGTGTCATAAGCTGATCATTAATAACTGCTTATGGAGATGCAGAATGTTCTTCAAAGAAATCACACGAAAATATGCATGTTACTTCCAACCTTAAATTAAAAAATGGTGACAGATCTGATTTGAAAGCCTTCTGCCAACAAAGTATTCAAGGAGCTTCTTCCCAAAGTATCTTTAAAGATTGCTGTAATTGACCTAATACATTTACAAGACATTTTACATTAGAATGCTGAATTTGAGAAAACTTTGTGATCAATAAACAGGGGAAATGATATATGAACAACTGAATTAATAACTCTCCTCTTTGGCCAGTTGTCATACTAACACACCCAAAGTGGTATCTTCCAGATGGTCCATCTACAGACACACAGTGTGGCTCGTCATGTAATCTCAGTTACAAACCTTAATGTATTCACTGACGAAACAAAAACACAAAACAATTCACCAAATAAGACATCTAACTGATTGAACTCACTGAATCTAGAACCGTGGCACAGTGGAAAGAACACTGGTTGTCAGAAGAGCCAGATCCCAGCTCTAGCTCTGACACTAACCAATCTGACTCTTCCAGCTCTAAAATGGCTGTTTTCCTCCGATTAGAAGTTTTCCACAATATTACTGAAACATTAGTTGAAATAAATGTTCACTACTTCCATAATGGCTACTGTAGCAAATACTAAATGTTTTGCAGAATATTTTAGAGCAGTGTCTACTAAACTGAGCTTGAGGATTCAATCAAAAACACTTCCAAGATGGGGAGTGACTGCTTAATGAGTACAGGGTTTCCTTCAGAAGTCAGGAAAAAGTTCTGGAACCCGTTAGAGGTGACAGTTGCATAACACTGTGAATGTATTTAACGGCACTGAATCGTATACTTTAAAATGGTTAAAATGGTCAAATTTTATGTCGTGTATTTTATCCACAATAAACAAAAAAGGTTCCAGAGTTGTCTGGGAAACACTAACCATATTAAATCTCTTCCAACTTTCATCATAGCAGTTTAAATATTAAAAGTTCTAAGAAGTCACATATTCACATATGAACAGTCTAAGAAGTATGTAGTAAAGAAATCTGTGTAACTGGGTATAAGTCAGTATTTCTCCAACTTATAAAATTTCTATAAATCTACGACACAATTTCATATTTTAAAGTTTCTGAAATAGGAGTAAATCTTTACAACTTATGTGTACAACTGCTGTGGTGGTGTCTGTGCCCCTAAGAAACTAGCATTAAGTTGCAGTGTGTCTGATCAACAATCGGCCTCTGCAGAACAAGGACTCATGGAATTTTACTGCAGTCCTTTGAGGCTCAGAGTCAACTAACAGCTCAGGGAGCTCAGGTGCTGTCTGCTGCTTAGAGTGGTAGTCTCTAAAGTGGGGTGGATGAGAACAACCACAACTTATTTACCATCCTTTCATAACTTATTGAAGTCTACACACATATATAAAACAATGCACATAATATGTAAGGACAGTTGTTCTAAAAAATTTAGAGTCTATTCTTTCAGGACTTTGTCTGCCCGTGTAGCGAGGCTGAGAGCTGAAGCTCTGCCAGAACTCCAGTTTGCCTTGTCCCTCTCCAGAGAGGAAATGTAAAGCTTGGCTGGGGCACTCAGAGATGCCGAGCCTGCAAACTTGCCTTTCAGAAATTCTTCTTAAAGCAGTTAACCCATCACTTCCCTGAAAAACTCAGAATATGCTCCTTCAATCACTTTAGTGCATTAATCCTGGAAGTTTTCAGGTCTCTGATTTTAGCATCTTCTTAAAATATTACAAGTGAGGCAAGTGCAACTTAAAAGAAAACAAAACACCCCACTAACAACTCTATCCTCTGTATAAGAAATAGTCACAGAGCAACCCTCTTTTGAGTTCTCCTCAGATGTGACAGACAAAAGGCTGGCAAGACGTTTTCCCAGCTCAAGAACTAGTCGCTCATGCTAGCCCAACCTTAGCAATAGCACTAACTTGGCAATTGTGGAAACGAAGAATCCCAAATCCCAGGAGCCACATGGGTACAGTACATTTTCTCTCATGCTGAAGTTACCCTAGATCCCATTTCACAACAACAATTTTGAGTCTGAGAATGTGGCAAGATATCTCTGAGAAGCAAACACAAAAGATCAGAATTTTCCTGCTAAGTGTAACAGCTGTTAGCTGTGAATTCTGATTGATGATAGAATATATTAATGAATATTGTTTTAAATAAACTTAAAATAATCATTTTACTTCTCCTAATACAAAATGTCTGTTTGTATGCATTACAATTATTTCTTCTCCCGTGCCACGTGAATCACTCTAAAAATACTTCACCTTGGAGACTGAATCCAATAATAAAACATACAAGTTTGGGTTTAAAAAAATAAAAAACCTTTCTGCATGTCCAAGCATTCAAGAACTACCCCCTGCCAAAAAAACACACAAAAGACCTGGTCACGCAGAGTGACTGTGGAAGAGGCATTGGAGAATTTCAGGCAACATCAAAGAGAAAGTGATGTCGATACCTGATCGAAACAAACAAAAAACCACTTCGCCCAATCTTGAGCCTGCTTTGTGCTTGCTTAATGGTATGTTAAATAGCCTACCCTTTGCACTCTGAATATAAGTAGCCATAGCAAAACAAGTAGTATTGTTTTTTTCAAAACTCTCATCATTTCAATCCAGTGAAACTACTATGTTGACTAAATAGGAATATCACACAAATCAACACCAAATCTAACTTTTAATACCAGTACAGGACAAAACAGACCTAACTGCACTCTTATCTGTTCTACACCCAGCCTGCTATACCAGGTTCCCAATCCTTTGGAAATACAAAATGCTTTTGACCTTCTCTGACATCTATTTTGCATTTAGGGGTACCCGTCACCCCAACTGTTGGACCTTTTCCCCCATGTGCCTACCTTCAACAGAAAAATCAGAATCTTAGGAACAAGCATCTTGAAGTCCAGATTTTTAACCAGTTTTAACCAGTTTAATCAGATTTTAATCAGAGATCCCCTTCTCTTTGAGTCTTCATCTAGAATTCCAGAGGCCTGAAATAAGCAGCCGTAGCTATTCTAGGACGTGCACTACTTGCCTCTTTGCTTCATTAACCTGCCCTAGTTTGGTGGAAGCTTCGCTGGCCTTCCTTCCATGAAAGTGTTCACTCAGCCACTTTAATGAGGAATGGTAACAGTAATCTGACTCAAGTTCTTCAAAACATTTTTCTATTCTCCCTGTGCCCTTTACATCAGGAAATATACAGGCAGGAAAAGGGAGGCAGCAACTTTAAGCTCCTATGCTAGTTTTCAGAGAAGCAACTCTGTGAAAACACTGCAAGTTCATATGCTTCTTAAATAGAAAAGGTCAAAGATACATACCTGTTTCATCCTTGCAGCAGCTCTATTTGAAAACAGAATGGACCTGTCTTTCTGGAAGCAGGATGGGCACATCTGAAGGGCTCGACTATAAGAACTTTCGGCTTCTATATAATCTGAGGATAAGGTAAAGACAAGAGGTCATTATGATTTTATTTCTGAGATTACTGTATTCCACAGGATCTCAGAATGCACAGTTTTCCATTCATAGGACAACTGTCTCAGACAGAATGCTTTGTAAGTTCAGCTTTCATTACTGATTTAGTAAGGAGTTCTGAAAGGGGATTAGGGAGCTGGACAGATGAAAGAGACTGAAGTCTGGGATTAATGGTCTAGGATGAAGGAAAAAAACTGTACACATATATTTTCATTAAAGATATTGTGCTTTCATAGAGTTAACCTGGTTAAAACTGCTTCCATGAAACGTTTGGAGAAACATTTTATGTAGCTAAAGCAATAATGTAAATATCAGTAGTTGTCTAAAGATCTCAAAAGAGAAAAATAAATTTCTATCTTCACTACCACACAGAATTATGGTCAGGGTATTAAAAGAAAATTGCTTATTCACTCTTTTCTTAGATTTAAAATATTTAACACTAAAATACAAAGAGATATGCTTTCAAACTTACAACCATTAGTTTTCTTAGGAAAAATGAATCAATGATTGCTAAACCAGGATATAAAAAAACAACTATAAGCCTGAAAATAACTGGGGGAAAATGTTACTACTCCTAAATTTCTAAAGCATATACACTTTGAAATGTGACAGAAGGCAATTATAAGATCAAATAATTCCCCCAAATTATCAGCATGAATTTATTTCTAAGCAAAGGTAAGAAATGCAGGAGGACATGAAGAACATCTCTCTTCTGAAAGCATCCAGAAAAAAATGCAGAAGAAAGAGCAACCAAAGTACAGGCATAGTATACTGCCCGAGGCCACGCTGGAAGCACCGGGTCAGTGTTTCAGCAGGGCTGCAAACGAGGAACGGGGACCCTGTTTGTACAGCAAGGCAACAAACAGCCTTTTATTCCAGGTTAGAGTTTTCCAAAGCAATAGCTGAAGAGTTCTTCCTCCTAATTTCTAGATATACAGATAGCAGATTATAGAAAAGAAAAACTATGCCTGTGCCAACAGACACATCGTAATTGGTCACTGTCGGTTGAGAACAATTTGGGCCTGGTGAAGAAAAAACAGAACTCCAAGGCGTTGGGAGGCAATGCTGTACTGTTAGCAGTTGAGGTTTGCCAGTTGTTTCTAAACGTTCTTTGGTGTTTCTTCAGACTCTAAAAAAGGACGAGGAGTCAAGATGACCAGATATTAGCGCTGAAACAGTTATCTTACCTCCTTTCTTAAACTGCTCATTTCCCTCTTCTTTTAGTCTAGTGCTCTCTTCTCTTCTTTTCTGAAAGAGATCAGAGAATTACATAATTTCTCACAATATTATTCTAAGTGAACAAAAAGGTCAGCTTTCTTTACATATTAGGTTAATAGGCAGCAACTCAACGTTTTTTTCCCCCTTCTTCTTCTTCTCCCCAAAGCCCCCCAGTACACAGTTGTGTATTCTAGTTGTAGGTCCTTCTGGTTGTGCTTGTGGGACGCTGCCTCAGCACGGCCTGATGAGCTGTGTGTAGATTCACGCTCAGGATCCAAATTGGTGAAATCCCGGGCTGCTGAAGCAGAGCACGTGAACTTAACTACTCGGCCACGGGGCCGGCCCCAGCAACTCAAGTTTTGGGTCAGTTTTATCTAAATCTCAAATAGATACAGAGAAAAACACATGACCCTCTGGTTATCATCAATCTCATTCTTGATGTCTAAAATACAAAACCTAGGTGTTCTATGTTTCTTTCCTTTGCTTGGAATGGTAATTCAGGTATCATTTAATTTCTATTTACTCAAAACAAAACTAAACAACATACCCACTGGTATGCATACCATTATAAATTCAAATTCTGAATCTGTTACTTATTTATTTATTTTATTTTTAAAGATTTTATTTTTTCCTTTTTCTCCCCAAAGCCCCCTGGTACATGGTTGCATATTCTTTGTTGTGGGTCCTTCTATTTGTGGCATATGGGACGCTGCCTCAGCGTGGTTTGATGAGCAGTGCCATGTCAGCGCCCAGGATTCAAACCAACGAAACACTGGGCCGCCTGCAGCGGAGCGCGCGAACTTAACCACTCAGCCATGGGGCCAGCCCCCGGATCTGTTACTTATTAACTGCATATCTTGGACAAGTTTCAGTTCTTTCTGAGCCTTAGTTTCTTCATCTGAAAAATAAGGCTTTAATAATTTTATGGATTAACATAATAACGTATGTAAAGCTCCCAGTACAGTGAGTGGCAAATAAGGGCTCAATAAATATGAGCTACTATTTTTCTGTAAAATAAGTGATTTAATACTTATTTAACTATAATTATGGTTCATGTCACGTAGGAGACATACAGCATGCTGGCAGAGTGCAATATGGGAGATGAGCCTCGTGTGCAGGATTGGGGCAGTATGCTGTTAGTAGGCTAACACAGGGAAATTTGAAGGAACCCAGGTAAATCTCTCTCTTTTTGGCTTCTTCTAGCAACTCAGAAATTCACAAATGGCCAAGCACCCATCAAACTGAAAGGCAGAGTGAATGTTCTGCAGAGCAAAGATGACATGTACTGAGTTCTTATGGGCTTCCAGCCCTGTACATCTTAGCAATACGGCTGGCACAAGCAGAATTGGGAGAAGCAGCTGCTGCCTGCCACCATTTTTTTGTTTTTTTTGATAAGGACGATTGACCCTGAGCTGACATCTGTTGCCAATCTTCCTCTACTTTTGAACATGGGACGCTGCCACAGCATGGGTTGATGAGCGGTGTGTAGCTCTACGCAGAGGATCTGAATCAGTGAACCCCAGGCCACTGAAGCCAAGTGTGCGCACTTAACCACTATGCCACAGGGCTTGGCCCCTGCATGCCACTTTTCGACAGCACTTTTTTCTTTTTTTAAAGCACAGAATCTCGAAAAATCCCCTTCTTCATTCTTGAAGCTTCTGACTAAATAAAAACTTCAAAGGGAGGAAATACAGTTAGCAGGGTATTTCATGCATAGGAGAAGCCTGGAGCCTAAACAATTATACACCAAGATTAGGAACCAAAGTAAAATATTTTCTCTCTGAAGAGGATTTGCAAATATGCTGTTGAGACCAGGGTGCTTCCCAAACACCCTATTATTATCCTCTGGATGAAAGAGAGCACTTGATGAATCTCAATAAAGAAACGAAAAGGTAGGTATAAATTTAATCTAATACTTATGGTATCTACTAAGTGTTAGACGTACAGCAGATACAATAACAATTCATTTTAAGATATAACTTATCTGAAGGAGAGTTATTCGTTTTTTTTTTTTTTTTTTTAAAGATTTTCATTTTTCCTTTTTCTCCCCAAAGCCCCCTGGTACATAGTTGTGTATTTTTAGTTGTGGGTCCTTCTAGTTGTGGCATGTGGGATGCCGCCTCAGCGTGGCCTGATGAGTGGTGCCACGTCCTCGCCCAGGATCCGAACTGGCGAAACCCTGGGCCGCCGCAGCAGAGCGTGCGTGGTGGTGATGGGTATCAAAATATAAGAATGTGGCCACGTTTACTTAGTACTACCCAGAAGGGAGGTCCTTGGATCATAATGTTCTCTATCGTATTGGTTAGGAGTTTTGGATGCAAGCAAACAGACTGTCTATTTTAGGCAAAAAATTTTAGAAGGGCAGATTTACTGGAAAGATACCGGGGGCTCACGGAATCACTCAGAGGCCTAAAATATGGACTTAGAAAACAGGCAGGACTCAAGGCAGCTTTGTTAAGTCAAGAAGCAAGAAAGCATTAAGTGTCTTTTAGTGGAAGAGTCTGGACGAGACAGGGCTGTAATAGCAAATAAATCCTAACCATTCCCTTTTCCTTGCCCAGATCCAGATTCAAAGCCTTGGTCGGAAGCATCCAATGAGCCAAGCATAGGTCATATGCATCAGCTGTCAGAGAATGGAGGGAGGGACATGGGGTACTGCCACTCAACAAGATTACAACACGGGAGAATTCCTCCAAATAGGAAGGGGGGTTTGGATGCTGGAAGCTAAGCAAAGTCCCTAACAAATCCAGTTAAAAGTTGTTTCAGCTCTGAATAGCCAAAGCAACCCTGAGAAAGAACAAAGCTGGAGGCATCACGCTCCATGATTTCAAGCTATTTTACAAAGCTTAGTAATTAAAACAGTATGGTATTGGCATAAAAACAGACAAATAGATCAACGGAGCAGAATAGAGAGCCCAGAAATAAACCCACACATATATGGTCAATTAATTTACAACAAAGGAGCCAAGACTATACAATGGGGAAAGGACAGTCTCTTCAATAAATGGTGTTGGGAAAACTGGACAGCCACGCACAAAAGAATGAAACTAGACCACTATCTTACACCACACACAAAAATTAACTCAAAATGGATTAAAGACTTGAACATGAGACCTGAAACAAAACTCCCAGAAAAAAACGTAGGCAGTAAGCTCCTTAACATAGGTCTTGGTGATAATTTTCTGAATCTGACACTAAAAGCAAAGGCAATAAAAGCAAAAATAAACAAGTGGGACTACATCAAATTAAAAAGTTTCTGTACAGCAAAAGAAAACATCAACAAAATGAAAATACTGAATTGGAGAAAGTATTTGCAGACCATAGACCCAATAAGGGGTTAATATCCAAAATATATAAAGAATTCAAACTACTTAATAGCAAAAAAACCAAAACCAAAACCAAACAAACAAAAATCCAATCAGATTAAAAAGCAGGCAGAAGATCTGAATAGATATTTTTCCAAAGAAGACACACAGATGGCCAACCGGTACATGAAAAGGTGTTTAAAAGCATTAATCATCAGGGAAATGCAAATCAAAACTACAATGAGATATCGCCTCATACTTGTTAGAATGGCTGTTATAAAAAAGACAAGAACTAACAAGTTTTGGCCAGGATGTGGAGATAAGGGAGCTCTTGTTGCACTGTTGGTAGGAATGTAAACTGGTGCAGCCACTATGGAAAACTGTATGGAGGTTCCTGAAAAAGTTAAAAATAGAACCAGTATATGATCCAGCAATTCCACTTCTGGGAATTTATCTGAAGAAAATGAAAACACTAACTCAAAAAGATATATGCATCCCCATGGTCTCTGCAGCATTACTTACAATAGCCAAGATAGGAAACAATGTAAGTGTCCACTGATGGATGAATGGATAAGGAAACACACACACCCACACACACACAAACAGGGGAATATTATTTAGCCATAAAAAAAGAATGAAATCTTGCCATTGTGACAACACAGAGGGACACTGAGGGCATTAAGCTGAGGGAAATATGTCAGAGAAAGACAGACACCGAGTAATCTCTCTTATGTGTGGAATCTTAAAAAAAGACCCCCAAAAACAGAAACAAAAAACCATACTCACACATAGAACAGATCGGTGGTTGCCAGAGGCAGGGGGTAGAGGGTAAGATAAAAGAGTGAAGGGGGTATTAAAAAAATAAATAAAATTATAAAACAACTTGAATTAAGGTAAAATTAAAACCCTATAAATATTAGTGAATTAATTCAATCAATTTTAAATTCACACACACACACCATGCATCACTGGCCAATAAAGTTCTAGCAGTGAAATGAAAAGTTGGTTTCACATTAGAAAATATATTAATGCACGGTAGCCTGTTAATAAGTTAAAAGAGAAAATTATATGATCATATGAATAAATGCACCACAGGTCTTAAAGGTCTTTAATATATTAAAAAGAAGTTATTTCAAAAACAAAAATTCTTTAGAGAAAGGTAGCACATTAAGTTACTAGAATTTAATGCCCATCCTTTAAGAATTTTCAACCTCCTCTGTGTTAGCTCCAATTTTAAGCTACTTTCTGATGTATACTCGGCTCTCCAGTGCCAACTCATCACGAATGTTCTATGAACACAGATGAATCACACAGGCTCTTGTGAAGAAAGAGAGAGAGAGAGAGAGAGAGAGAGAGAGACGGGGAGAGGGGGAGAGGGAGAGAGGGAGAGGGAGAGAGAGAGAGAGAGAGAAAGTGTGAGTGAGAGAGAGAGAGAGAGAGTGTGTGTGTGTGTGTGTGTGTGTGTGTGTGTGTGTGTGTGTGTGTGTTAGGAATTTAACCATTCTTTGGTAAATCTAGAACATTAAGATCCCAATGGGCAAAGCCTAAATCCAAGATACACCCAGAAGGAGTTACTGATAAGGCCCAACCTCAGCAGCCAGCCCGAGAAAAGCTCACGATGTCTTTACAACTAGGACTAAAAGTTGCACTGGTACAGAGAAGTGCTCCAGAACATAATTCTACGGCCAATTATTCTGAGGAAGGCATTTTATTTTTTGGCTGATA